TCATTGAGTAGGCAAGAAATACTTGCCCTTGAAACATTTCCAGTTTATAACTCCAACAACCCTGAACTAGGAGAGCGCTAGGATATCAAATGATTTTCCAAAACCACCTGAAAAGAAGCCAGAGACGCTCCAGGATTTATTTTTTTCTTAAAGAGCTTAATATCTTCTCTACACCAAAAGTACATTGCTTCTAGCCTCAACAGGGAGTTTTCTGCCAAGGCTGCAGGAAAGTAAAAAAAATCCAGAACACAGAATATTACACTCAATTAATTACACACTTAATTGCTCTGTTCTTTTAACAGCCTAATGAATAGAGCAAGTTTCAGTTTCAGTATATATATGTAGCCCAAAGTTTCAAGTCCAATAAAGGAGACGGGACTGATTTGAAATGTCTGTGCTAAGATCAGACATGTTCATGTAACCAGTAGTAAACACTCAGAATAAATGACATCTATGCCCCTTGCTTTCCACCCAGAGCATCCAGGAGCTAACATGAAGGGGTTTTTCTGTACAACCTGAAAAGAGAACATTATATGTCATGGAAGCTGACCCCCTCAATTAAACTTAAGAGAATCCGGCTCATCTTAGATCGCAGGCCAGTGGACCACCATGCGTCAGTGGAGCTTCTTCCTCTTTTCACTTCTTTGGCCAGGACCTGGTTGCACTATTGACTCAACTTACGTTTCTGAGTCAGTAGTCTGAAAAGTATCCCAAGGCGCACACAACTTTCATTTCAACCTTCCCAAGGCACACATCAAAGTTATATACCAGGAAGCCAGCTGGCAAGAAGTGGGTTCCAAATGTTTGCACAAACTGCAAGTTAACTATTAAATTATTGGCAAACAGCCCAATTCCAGTCAGAGGCACTTGCCCTCATTAAAGCCCAAGAAAATAAAACAAAAACAAAGTCTCTAAGCTAAGCCACTCAAGATGTTACCTATGTAAAACAAACATTTCATTTTAACGGTCAGATTCAATTTGGCTTTTACTCACTCCCTGCACTATGTACCTGCATAAGGCATCTTCTTGCCATTTAAAACCAAACCTGCCGGTCCTTTCTAGCAAACCAAAAATCACCTTCTTTTCCCTCTACTAACAGCTTTGCACACAAAAGAAACAACTGCGGTGATTTTTTTTTTTTCCCCTTAAGAAAAGCGTAGTTCTTTCAGACATTCCTAGTCTCAAATGTCATACTGATCTTGTTGAAAATCCTGCAGGAAAAGCTGAAGCATGCCACTTCATTTACGGACAATATTATGATACCCGTTGTCAACTCTTTTATAATCCTGAAGTTCAAGAGACAGTCATTTTTCGGTTTTGCAATGGAAATTTAGCTTTGGCATTAACAATGGAGAGAATGGGCACATGTACACAGATAATTCAGTCAGACATGAGCTCAGTCAGACCGTACTCCAAGCTGGCCGGACACAAGCCAGCTCTAGTTCACAAGTCATGTAGCTGTGTTAGCACAGCACTGTGCCCACACTAATAAAACCTGCTGAGAGGCAGGGTATATTAGGCTGGGCACAGTCCTACACTGTCTGGCCAACTTCAATCAAGGACAGAGGATGCTGGGTCTGTCTGCACCCATCTGCATACATACGCGCTCCTGCTCTGTATGCCTTTGACTTCTGTGCATCTCTTCTGAAGTTTTTTTTTCTTATTTTGTAACCTAGAAGGGCTAGAGCACAGCACCATACATTTGAGATTTTAAGTATCCTCTTTGACCATAACCATGGCAATTCCTTGTAGCTGTTCCAATGAAGACTTAAAAAAAAAAAAAAAAAATTACTAGCACTACAGGGCAATGAGGGGCTAGGGCAATCGAATGGATTCTATTTACACAAAAGTACTTCCAAGAGCTCTGAAACACAACTGTCCTTTATAGTAGTAGCATTTCCCCCAGGCATTTATTCTGTTGTGGAATTCAAGAATTATAAATCAGCTCTTGTCAACATCTCAAAAACAGAAGACACACTTTAAGTAGTATTCATGTCTATCTCAAAGTAAACAAACAAATAGAAAATTAAGCTGTTCATTGGAAAAAACGGTGAATCCTAGCTCTTAGAAAAAGCCAGAAAACTAAACTATGAAAAGAGATCAGGTAATACAGCAAATCACTAGTTCTTTAAAGTTTTGCTCCAAAGACACATGCAACTAAACTCAACTTTGCCTCTGCAAGGAAATTAGTCAGTCCAAGGATGGAAAAAATCCATGTCTTAATAATCTACTGACATAGAAACCAAAGGACAGGTGTGCATCTCTGAGCTCAAATAACTAGCCCAAAAGATCAAGGAATAAAACTGTAACATGAACACGTTAATAACATCAAGTTTTCCTTAATAACAAATGCCCTGAAGCAGCTTAAGTCTGACATGACTTCTCCATTTTACATTTTCTTCATTTAAAAAGATTAAAAAAAAACAAAATAGCCAACCAAAACAGATTTAGTGAGCTACATACTTGATTTTTAGGAAATGTAGTAAGAAACCCTTCCATTATACAATACTATCTGTGCCCGCCCTTTCAGTCTTGCCTGTAAAAAGGCAGACAGGCTAAAAAACCCAGTTACTAGAGTGTGACACTTCTGTCTCTATTTCAAAGTAACTTCTTCTCACTACCTTTAACTTTTCTATTGTCTAAAATAAGCATTCCATGTTTTGAAATGAACTACAGATTGTTGACTAAAAAAAAATCATGCCAATATTTAAGATATCTTCAGCAGCCTTCAAACTCAAAGCCATTGACATGAACTGGAGAAGTTTAGCTTATTCAAAAAGCAAATTTCGTCCAGGCAGTGGCCTTTGAATCAGATTTTACATTTTCTTATACACAACAGTATTTCAAAAATAGAACTCATTTGGATTTATGCTTTAACATTCATCACTCAGGTCTATTTGTATACTTATGTGTCACTGTGAATGTAAAGCCCATAAAAAGGTATGATTCAAACAAGTTCAGGCAGACTCAAGTACTAATTATCAGAGAACAGTGACAAAGGAAGAAGGTTTAAGGAAAGATTTGTGTTAATTTTCATCAGAATAGCCTGCATGCTGCAAAAATACTAGATAGTATTAATCAATATTTAGGTTTGCAATTAATGTCTGTTAATTATGATCTGAAACCTAATATAGAGTGCTTATATTTCTTAGATAAAAATTACTTATCTGACTTCAGAAACATGAATTCAGTATTCACAGAGGATTCTACGAGTGAGATTTTTGAGAAAGTAAGAAATAAGTATTTTTCATTTTGATTTACAATATGTGCAAGAATACTCAAAATAATACTGGCTAGAACAAATTCTAACAAACATTCATTGCTGGTGACAATCAAGACAATGAAATAATTTTTTTGCTAAGTGGCAATGTTGGATATGCACCTCTAATGTACTATAGCTGTAAAGTTCATATATCATGCACACCTGCATTAAAAAAAAAATCTCAGTGCACAATTTTCAGAAAGAGGCTGAACCTTACCCGTAGTGACAGAAGGAATGCTTTTTCCATCTGAATTACTTAATTGAGTAACTAGTCCATTCAAGTTTTAAAAACTCATCAGACTTTGAAAATATGGGAGTTTGTCTTCCCCAATCCATCAATTAAAAAGACGATAGATAAAAAAATGCTTGGAGAGCTACTTTCTAAACCTTACAAAGGACAAGGTAAATAGAAACAAAGTTCAGCTTCTAACTGCAGCTAATATTTTGTCTTAAATACAAAAATATGTTATCCCCCCGCCCTTTGTTATCCAAAGCATGGAACAACCCCAGTTACAAAATACAAGTTGGTTAGAGCTGAATTAGAGAAATAGATAATTTACATTCGAAGAATAACCTGACATAAATGACACACAAAGAACCCATGTCTAAAATTGTACATTTCTTTAAATGCAAGCAAATGCTAATAATACAAGCAAAGATAATGAGACTACAGAATTGTTTAGAAGGGTATACTGTTGTGTTCAGACATGTACATACAACAGGTACATAGTGTCCATTCCACAAAGAAAAATGTAAACTAATGAATTTCCATCTTAAATGTAATCAAGATCACATGGGGGGGACCTCAGAAATAAACTAAAGAAAATTAAATTAAAATTAATTTAAAATTTATTATCTGAATGAAAACTTCTTGGCTGATTTAAAAAAAACAGTTAAAAATATATTTCAAAATTAACAAATTTTATAGTTTGTCCAGAATGTGAATAAAATGACTTAAGAAGAAGTGTACATATTTTTAGAGTCTGGTCAGCTATTCCGCATGTAATATTCGCATATATATCCTACTATTTATCTCCTACCAGGCCAAAAAAACCCTAGTGAATGCACTGTAGAATCAAAAACAAAACAAGAGTGAAATGCAGGTGTAGTTTTCTGTACTGTTCCCTAACACCAGAAGGCTTGCTGTTAAAGTCTCCCTAAAACCAACCGGCAGAGATATAACATACAGTTAACCTACACTTAAGCCTTTCAAGTGAAGAGCTTCTCAAGAGAAAAGCTGCAATTCAAGTAGGGCATTGAGTAGAAGCTAGTGCCAAGAGCCATACTTGAAGCCACACAATAACATTTCTTTGTCAGAACACAGAATAATATTTACTGCCATGACTGTGTCACTACATACCACATATTAAAGACAGTAATGAAATATTTCACAACAAAGCAAAATTACTCTCTTGAAAGTAAGCTATATAGTCGCTATTTAGGAATTCTTTTCTGATCAGCTATCAAAAACGACTTTTTCCAGCAAAGCTCCACTTGAATTTCCTACTGCCACTAGCCAGTTTTGGAACTGGTAGCAAAAGCCAAATTACAGGCTGTTTTTTTGGTAATTCAATATGTTACATTAATAAATTATGGTTAGTTTAAATTTACTTTATCATGAAAAGTCAGAGAATGTAGAGGTGAATTTGCAGAAGTAATTTTCCAACATGAATACTTGAATGGCACGAAACAACTGAGTCTTAAAAGAGTGGTATCAGCAACAATTTGTATTACTTACCGGTATATAATAGATATTCATTTTAGGGGCTTCATTGGCAGTCATTAGCATTCCTAAAAAGAGATTTCGACATTTAAAAACATCGGTCACAAGAGGATAACACTACCTTCTAAAAAAAAAAAAAAAAAAAAAAATACTTGAGGCATTTAATTCATACGAAGTAGATTTGTACATAGGACTTAAAATATCCTTCCAGGAGAAGAAATGGAAAAAATGCAAAATTTGCTGGCACAAAAAAAAAAAAAAAAAAAAAAAAAAATTCAAAGGCACACC